GGCCCGTTCTTCCTTCCGACCCTTGCCTCAGCCTCTGAGTGTTCACATCGGCCCCTTGCTTCAGCGGGAGTGGGGGTGGGGTGGGGAGCTGCTCGCTGTGAAGTTCCTGTTTTCCCCTTTGTCATGAAAAAGCCAGTTGTGGGCGTGGGAGAGAAAGGGGTCCGAATAAATAGAAGGTGACGGGAGGAGATTTGACTCTGGGCGATGGGCGCCCGGTGCAATAGACAGATTTTGGAACGCAGAAACCCACACCTGAAACTGGCAGGCTCATGTTGACCAATGGCAGCCCAATCGGTGTAATAAATCTTTTTTAAAAGCGATTTGCGGGGGGGAAATAAAATTTAAAAATAAAAGCAATTTGTGGGAGACACTTAGAGACCAGGTAGATTCCTCCGGGTTTGTTTGGGAGGATTATTGAGCGGGAGGATTGTGGGAGTCCTGCCTGGAGGGCCTAGCGGCCTGTCCTCCAGGCAGGACTCAACCTGTGGGTCCCCACCCCTGTGGGGGCCCGAACGACCCTTTCACAGGGGTCGCCTAAGACCGTCGGAAAACACATCTATAATTACATATTGTTTTTGTGATGAATCACTAGGCTTTCATTATGTTCAATTTGTAACAGTGAAATTGGGGGTCACCACCACATGAGGAGCTGTATTAAAGGGTCGCGGCGTTAGGAAGGTTGAGAACCACTGGGCTGGGGGCTGGCATGGACGCAGGGCGGATGGCCAACCCAGCTTGGGCCTCCAGCAGCACGCTGTCCTCTAGCCCTTCGCTCTCTTCTCTCTTCCATCTTCTGGGATTTTCTTTTGTGTTGTGTTCCTATCCCACATCCTTTATCAAGAGAACGTCCTCCCTCAGCCCAGGTTGCTCTGGCTCTAGTCCCTTTTCACAGCCTGTTGCTAGATGAAACCCTGCTTTCTCTCTCTTTTTTAAAAACATATTTTATTGATTTTTTACAGAGAGGAAGGGAGAGGAAGAGAGAGAAACATCGATCAGCTGCCTCCTGCATGCCCCCCACAGGGGATGTGCCCGCAACCAAGGTACAGGCAGGCCCTTGACCGGAATCGAACCTGGGACCCTTCAGTCCGAAGGCTGATGCTCCATCCACTCAGCCAAACCGGTTAGGGCATCTCTTTCTTGATATGGTTCAGAGCAGAGACTGTGGAGTCAGATCCACCCAGGTTTGAACCCCAGCTCTGCTCCTCACAAGCTGTGTGACCTTGGGCCAGTAACTTAACTTCTCTGGGCTGCAGATTCTACAGCATAAAAACAATAACGGCACCTACTTCACAGGTCGATGGGGAGAATGAGGCAAGGTAAACCATGTAAGACACTTAGAGCACTGTCTAGCAGGCATATTTTGTAATTTTTTTATTTCTTCCCTAACATATTCTCTGCCTCCTTCACTGTAAAAACAGCATGAGAGCAAGGACTGAGCCTGTCTGCTCATCCCTGACTCACCCAGCATTTGCCCCAGTTGGAGACTTTCAATGAACACAGTGTCACCCCACAGCTCACTTATTAATTCCAAAGGGGAACCCAGAGTTCATCACCTCAACCATGAATCAAACTTACCTTCAGTAAGGAATCAACTGGCCCTCTGACATGATGCACCAAGAAGGAACATGGCATCTGCCCGAAATGCTCAACTTGAATCTAATCACAAGGACACAATCAGACAAATTCAAACTGGGGGACACGCTACCCAACAGCTAGCCTGAACTCTTCAAAAACGTCAATGTCACGCCCTGGCCAGTTTTGCTCAGTGGTTGGAGCATCAGCCCATGGACTAAAGGGTCTTGGGTTCACTTCCTGGTCCAGGGCATGTACCTGGGTTGCAGGCTCAATCCCCAGCCCCAGGGCGTGCATGCGGGAGGCAACCAATCGATGTCTCTCTCACATCAATGTTTTTCTCTCCCTTCCCCCCGCCCTCCCCACTTCCCTCCCTTCCACCCTGTCTGAAAAATCAATGGGGGGAAAAATATCCTCGGGTGAGGATTTAAAAAAAAAATTGTTTTTCCATATCACAAAAGAAAACAGAACAAAAGTCTGAAGTAGTGTCCTTGATTAAAGGAGCCTGAGAGATATAACAATGATGCTATCTATCTGGATTGGATCCTGGATTTGAAAAGGCAGGAAGGAAAGGAGGGAGGGGAAAGGAAGGGAAAGAAAAGCTAAAGGAACACTACTGGGACTGCTGGGGAAATGCGAATAGGGGATATAGGTTACGTAACAGTATTGTTCCATGTTGCCAGGGTGAGGAATATACTGGGGTTATACAGGAGAAACTCTTGATCTGAGAAGTTCCGTGCCAGGTGTTTAGGGAGAAGTGCCATGGGATCTGCAGCCTCCCCGCCAATGGTTCTCCGTAAACACATGGGTTCCTGCGGCACAAGCGTGCACAGGGAGCGGGGAGCAACCAGGAGCCATGTCGGCCATCGGAGGATTCGGTTGGACCACAGGAGCCTGCGGTATTTCGGCAGATTTGACCGTTTTTAAAATAAAAACGGGAAGAAAATTGAGCATTTGTGAAATAAGTGGACTTTGGAATTTAATTCCCCAACCTGCAAACCTCTGAAAATCTGTCACACAAGAAGACACAAACATTCTCAATCTCTTTTTTTTAAAATATATTTTATTGATTTTTTACAGAGAGGAAAGGAGAGGGACAGAGAGCTAGAAACATCAATGAGAGATAACCATCAATTCAGCTGCCTCCTGCACACCCCCACTGGGGATGTGCCCGCAACCAAGGTACGTGCCCTTGACCGGAATCGAACCTGGGACCTTTGAGTCCACAGGCCTGACGCTCTATCCACTGAGCCAAACCGGTCAGGGCCTCAATCTCTTTTTAAATATGTATTTACTTATTTTGAGAGAGAGAGAGAGACATTTGTTATTTCACTTATCTATGCATCCATTGGTTGATTCTTGTGCCCTGACCAGGGATCCCACCCGAAATCTTTGGCGTATCAGGACGATGTTCTAATCAACTGAGCTGCCAAGCCAGGGCCACTCTCAATCTCTTAGCACAGCCCTAGGATTTCTTCCTACAAGTTCTTGCAGGCTAGGCAAGGCCAGTTCTTCTTTTTTAATCTTTACTGTTGAAAGCATTACATATGTCCCCCACCCCCAATGACCCCTTCCAGCCCCGGCCCCCACCCTCTTAGGTTGATCTCCTCCCACCCACCCTCCCCCACCTTCCTTTTGAGGCTCAACAGCCTTTCATCTGGAATCCTTGTATGAACTTTCTGGGTTCCAGAAACCTCCAACACTATGTGCAAAATTTGATTCCTGTGCCTTGAGATGCTTTCCTTAGCATCCGTGAGATTCTCAAAGGAGGCCATGACCTAAAAATGGTTGCAAACCACTGGTCTAACCACCAGGTCCACCCCCAACTGGGGCCCCATTCCTGGCCTCCACCCTCGCCCACCTCTGACTCCATCCACCCTCCCTGCACCGTCCTCTCACCCTCACCACCGAACCCACACCCCACACCCATCTCACACCACGTAACCTGCTCCACGCCTGCAGCCATGCCCGAG